GGGGAGGGGGGAGGCCCGAAGAAACGTCAATCGCAAGGCGAGTTTCGAGAAAGTCACGGCTGGTACTTTTGAAATGATTACGAGCTGTGACCACCGAGCGTCGCGATGCGCGGATATATTGCGACGCAACGGCGTCGATCGTCACTGGAGCTCTCTGACTGTTCCTAAACATTATACGTATTTTGTGTTCTTGCATGAACATTTCACGTTGCTAAAAATTGTCGTACGACAAGAGAGACATATAATATCATCTTATTAATCGATAAATATCGATAAAGTAGTAGATATAAAACGAGAAGTACCCAACCAGGAGTCGTTTCGTCGACTTGGAAGCGGAGGAGAGAAACTCACTCGCGTAACTTTATATATAGCTTCGCGCCGCGTCGAGACGCTCCTGGATATCCTCCGAGGATACCATTGGCGCGTTTCGTTACTAAAATTCACGTCGGATTTCGTGTTTCTCGGATCCTCTCCCCCCCTCCCGCGACGTTTGCGTCGAGGGAGAAATCGTCGTTCGCGACGTCGCGTCGCCGGTCGACGAACGGCGGCGAAAGATCGACCTTATTCCTCGCGCGCGCGCTCACCTGAAGCTCCGCTTGCGAAACGTCGATCTCGCCGCGGTAGACGAACTCGATGATGAACTTGAGGTCGTTGAAGCAGACGTCCTGCGGCATGATGATCGTCGGGTGTTTGCACGGGTTCGACAGCAGGAGCTTCTGGAAGTAGGAGCTGCAGGCCGACAGCACCACCTTCAGGAGCACGTGGAACAGAAAACGAAATCAAATGCCGTAAATGTAGACGACACACGTCCGACGATCCGACGATTAAATCGCGCGCGCGGTTAAGTCCCGACAGATTAAATCTCCGACACGCGAATCTACCGGGTAATGCGAAACAACAAAAGCGTTCGTGCATCGCGATGGTTTTCGTTTTGCTTCTGGAAAACGTGTCGAAACTACGTACCGAGCGGTTTGCGGGTATTTTCCATCGTTATTTTCTCCGTATTCGAAGCTAAATATCGACACTTCAATTAGCTATCGCGATATCACGAATCAGAAAGCGTTCAACTGCAGATTTCGAGAGCCGGCCGCGCACGAGTATATATGCGAACACATTACCGCCCGTTTCGGTAGCGTCGAAATGTAACGCGAAGTAATTGCGGCTCGATGCCGGGGATCGATTATCGCTGCGGGCGCGATTATCCGCTACATGTCCCGCTTCGCGCGATGACTTTGAATAATCGCGACGGTGCCGGGTATGACAAACATACCCGGTCTCCACTTCGAATCGGACACGTCGGACACGTTTATCGGTACTTTTTCAACGTCACTCTGTTCCAAATTCGACATTCCAAATTTATACGATTTTCTAAAATTTAATACTTAATTCCGCCGAATTTTTATCGCGCCGCGGGGAATAATCTGTCATAGAGGCGCGCTGTAATTTCTCCGTTCCTCTCGGATCGAGGTCTTGACGTTCGATTCCGAGCGCGCACGTTGATCGCGGTCGCGCCATCGATCTCTCTCTCTCTCTTTCTTCCCCGTGCACGTCGCGCTACACCGGCCTACCTTGTGCGCCTTTAATGAGGCCTCGTTGCACGCCAGGGTGACGTCGACGAAGGCCTCGGTCTGCAGGAGCTGGTGGAACACCGACGTCATATTCGACTGGTAGTTGTTCCAGCGCAGGCAGTAGTGCTGCCCGGCCATGCCGCCGCTGCAACAGAGAAACGGAAAAGATCGATCGAGTGACTTCTTTTTATTTTTTTATTTTATTTCATTTTTTTCTCCTCTTTCTCCGAGAGTGTATTTCCCCTCGTGTCGGCGGATTCATCGAAAAGTCATCGGCGACGACGACCCTAAGAGACGCGACGAGAAGATCTCCTCGTCGTCTCCCCCCCCCCCCCGGCCCCGCACGTCTCCCCGCTTTTTCCCAAGCCGCAATAGTCATCCCCGTTGTACCGTTTCCCCTGCCACGAGAGATCGATCCGCGGAGAGCGGGACAGTACCTGTAGTGCACGCCCCAATAACGATCTGTCTCCATGAAATATTGGGTTTCTTTTTCCGCCACGGCCGCCGGGAGAAGATATCTCCAAGAGGTTTTATGTACCGGACGGTATCCACGCTAGAGCGAAAGAGAGAGGACGAGAAAGAGAAAGAGAGAGAAAGAAAGAGTAGGTAGATAGGTATAGGGGTTATCTACATGCTGCGAGGGCGGCGAAGCACGGGTGGCGGAAACGAGGAGACGAGAGGAATAAGACGAGAAAGAGAGGGCGGAGAGGGACAGAGGGAAAAAGAGACGGTTATACGGGGCAGAAAAGGGGAAGATCGGCGTTGGGTGAGGAGGAAGGGAGGGGGGAATGACGGAAGCGACGAAGGGAAGAAAGGGGCGAAAAGGAGCGCGGGAGGAAGAAGGGCTGCGCGCGGGTCGCAGCGGAGGAGAGAGACGTTATTTCCGGAAGTTGCGGCAGAGCGGCTAGAGAGCGGCGGCCGCGAGTCGCGGGAAACACAAGAAAAACCAAGGAATGCACTTTCGCGTGTCACGAGTGTATATAGTATCGAGGTAGGCCCGGCGATGATAACGCGTCGAACGACGAAGCTCGGAACCCGAAACGTCACGATCGGGAGAAGACGCGGCGGCGCGAGAGCGGTGCCGGAGAATCGCACCATGCGGAAAATCGGCACGCGCCGCGAATACGAGGACGAGCGCGGCACCGGGCGTTGGTCTGTGCCCACGTCGTCGCGACATTCACCTGTTCCGTGGACCGTGCTTTATCTGCCTCTATCTATGACTCTTTATACCGGGCCATTCCGCCCGTTATCTGTCCGTAGGAACACGGGCTTTTATCAGTTGCTTAGACGTGCGCCGATAACGGGGAAACTTTAAGCTTGCGCCTTCTCCCGCCTTCTCTCTCTCTTTCTCTCTCCCTCTCTCTCGCCTCATTCTCCTGGCTCTCTCCTTCTCCGGCTACTCGCGCTCGTTTCGACGCTCGTCGCTGCCTTTCATCCGCTCGCTCGCTCGCACGCTCGCCTGCGCGCTCCAAAGAGAACGCCTAGATAGAAAATCTTCACGACACCTCGCTCCTATTATCCTCGGCACCGAACCCTCTCCTCCTCTCATCCGGGATGTCTTACTTGATATACTTATGAATCTTACGTGAAAATTGCAAAAAAATCCGTTCTTCTCCAAATTGACTGCCTGAACGCGAACGTCTTAAATATACACTTGAGATTTTTCTCAATTCTTATACGTAACTCTTGGCTCTCAATGCTAAAATCACGGCTCTCAAGTTCTTCCGAACTCTCTCATCGCTTATCCGATCTTTAATCTCTCGCAGTTCTCTCAGCTCGCGGTTTACTCGACGTTATATCAATATAAATGTTAACTCTCCATTTTTTTAAATGCTATTTTTTAATGTTCAAATAGAACGTAAATAAAGAAAAAATGTACTTCTACTCCCCGATCTAACTCTTTGCCTATACCAAACTCCATTCTGCCACCTTTCCCTACGCCCTTCGTCATCCCTTTCACATCTCACTGGTCGGCACGCTCGGTACCATCTGCCGTCTCTCCGGCTATCCTTCGAGGGCCCTCGACGTGGACGCACCTGCGAACGCTCGCAGGTAACGCACGATTGTGAATGTACGTGAGCGCACCTGACGCACTTACCTCGCCGACCTCTATCTCTATACCCGCGCGGAGTAGGTAGGTAGGTACGTACGTACGTACGCGCGCGCGTGCTGTTTCCACCTGTGTGATCGATTATTGCGAGAAATCACGGACGCGCGAAACACACGGCGGATCGCGCATGCATTGGTGCCGAACCTCCGAAATTCCAGAAACGTTTCTGGGACTTCAATTTCAAATCGGATCACGGAAAATTTGCTTTCGACTCCGGCTACTCCGAATGTTTGCTATTATTATAGGACTAATGGAATTTTCAAAGTTCGTAACATAAGGCTTATGTTACCCAACTCGATTAATCCCCTTGAAGTTGAATTAATCCCCTGTCCGTTTTCAGTCTCTTGATTCCAACAGAGAGGTAAATTAATTGAATCGGGATTACAAAGCTTAAGTGTCTCAAATGTCTCTTTCTCGAAGAAACTCTAAACCGTATCGGAAGTGAACAAAAACTTCGGCAGTCATTTCGGCAGAAACGTTTCTTGCATTTCTTGCCTACTTCACGGAGCGCGATATTAGCGCGTCGTCGTTTTTTTTCCGCAACGTTCTTCTTCAACACACCCGGAGAAACTTGGATTCGCTCACGGAAAGAACGATTTTATTGAAAGGTCTAAAAATTTTGCTAAAAACAGATCTAAAAATAATTTTTTGTTGAACCATTAAAATAATTTGTTGGAATGTTAAAGCTGATAAGCATTGCTATACGTGAAACGTTTTCATATTCTAGCAATCACTTTGACTTTCGCACAAAATTATTTCGATTATTGAAAATTATTTTCAGATCTGGAATCAGTAAAAAATTATTCTTTCCGTGCTCGAAATCGAAACGCGCGCCTTGCCGCGAATTGCCTTTTAACGTCTCCTCCGCACGGCGAAGTCTCTATGCGTGCGTGTCGCGCGGCACATAGACACGCGAGTCGCGTAACAGGTACGTGCGTACATTGATATCGCGAAATTGGGTTACCTGGCGTGCCGACCGCGAAGACGTCGCTGATAAATTCGTGATAACGGGGAAGAACGACGATAATCGATCGTCGCCGCGCGCGAGCGTTAATTTCTCGACCTCCTTTGTTCCCCGCCCTTCACGGGATTTATCTATAATCCGTCATTGTCGCAATCAAGCGCGATTTACCTCTCGCCCGCAACTTCGCGCGCGAACGCGAACGAGGGAGGGAAAACTCGCGAGTGTGCATTGTTAAGCCGATAATTAACAGAGTTTCTGCCGTTTCCGATTTTAACTTTTATCGATATACGCCGCAGCAGATACGGCGTTGATAAAAAGGTATTTTTCAGAGTGAGAGAATGATAGATGGAGACATTTAACATATATTCGGCTCATTCGGTCGCAGTGTCACGCTTCTCCCGCGGTGTCGTTCTCTCGGCGACTGTGTCTCTTAATAATTGCGCAATCCTCATGTTTCTTTCATAAAACGTAAAAAAAAAATATACGTAGTCGTCGGGAATCGTCGAGCGACGATTTTTCAGCCGGCCAACCTTTTACATTTCATTTCACCTGTAAGCTTAAATGTCGCAAAGTAGGAATATTTTATGAAAATTTCCTTTTAACCGGACGTGCATACGTGAGTATTTAAACATTTAAAGGATTCCACTTTTTTTTTTATCAATTTTCAATCGAAAGAATTAACGATAATTCTGTCATTTGCCAGGAAGCTTTACGGGCCCCTTCTCTTTGTATGTTCCGTCTCTTTTATTCGCGACAGAATAATTCGCAGAGTCGAACGGATCGTAAAGATCCATTGCGTTTTCACCGTGTCGCCGGTACAAGAGTGGTTCCTCTATATTCCACCTGTTCTCGTTTCTATATCTCCCGTCGTGTCGTTCGGTATTATTCGCGCCGTTTTATCCCACGGCGGGATAATCCGCGTAAATGAGCACCGTCGGCAAGATCCGCGATATTCCAATCAGAGTTACAGGCAAAAATGGCCTCGGCCTTCTTATATATTCCGTGATTATCGTTCATTCTACGCTCCGTGTTACTCCGCGATGAAATAATTTGCGCGGGTGAATAGCCGGAAAGATCGAGGCGCGATCCGATTGCGGCGTAAAAGTAGCTCACCTAGTTTTGAGGAACATTGTTTAAGAGCCCCCTGTGCGACACGGCCAACCGCGTTGATTTGAGGAGGATAATTGAGTGAAAGAAAGGAAGACGCGCAATTAAAGCGGCCGCGGAGAGAGAGAGAGAGAGAGAGAGAGAGAGAGAGAGAGAGAGAGCGCGGGAGAAAACCGGATGCAACGCGACGTGAAGAAACGGAGTGAGACGGGATAGCCGGGTGAGATGAACTCGGCGCGCAGTACTAAAGTTTACGACACTCCTGCACTACTATATGTCAAATGGAACAGTAGAGTAAAATGATTATTTATGGTAATAAAACTAGCAAACTGTTTCGAAAATCTGCGTGTATATAATAAATATTTATATTAATTATTTGCCTAGACTTTCCAATGTAACGAAAAGTTGAATTTGTAATTGTAGGATATTTTTTATCCGCAGCAATAAATCTGGGAAACTTGGAAGGGAGATTTTTTCTTCCGCAAAGAAATGGAGAGAATGAAAATTAGAAACGTATGGATTAAGCGTTATAAAAAATTATAAATTTTTTCATATCTTTTCTGTCATGTGCCAAAAATTATATTTTGTAACAAATTATGATAAATTAATGTATATAGTTTATAATAAATTATTATTGATATTGAAAAATGTGTAATATAATTAAATAACATTTTATAATACTTCAAGGATGAGTAGGATCTCGAAATATAAAATCGCATATATTTCGTAAGGAGCTTATACTTTTAAATTATCCTGCAGATATTAAACTCGGTATATTGAGCACTCGGTGGAAATTTCGTGGTGACGAACAGTGTGATCGATCGCATCCATCGATACGCTTTCCCAATGCACTACCTCCGGTCTCGATGCGATGCGCGTTAGAATCTAAAACACTTCGCCCGGTTTCTCCGGAGGAGTTACGGCCCCGAGCGGCGGCCGTCTCGAGCGATTTTCCTGTCACTTT